TTCTTCCGACATAATTCAAATAGTATATGTTAGTTTTACAAGTGAGTATTTTTTTTAACTAGTTAAGTTGCAATTTCCCATATCCAATGGTATTCAAATTCACAAAAGCTTAACATAGTAGTTACATTGCTATTTCAAAACTTCAAATGCGAAATTACACCCCCTTTAACTTCAGGGTGATTAATGCGACTAGAAAAATGGCTTAAGGACAAATTTAAACTTTAATATTTTAATTAAACCATGTTGTAATCTGGTCTTGTTTTAATTACAATTAATAATTTTTAATTTTCCTAATCATTGTAAACTTACTACTTATTGTTTCTCTTTCAAATCATTGTAATTATCCTAGTTATTAGAATCAAGAGTAAAAGTTGGGATTAGAGGACTGCCCGCTTTTACAAGGGTTCGGGTTTAAAAAATTAGTAATTTTTGGGAAACTGAGCTTTGGAGCCAAATCCTAATAGACTTTAAAAAAACGGGCCTAAGCCAAGGGACCCTCCAAGCTCGATCCTCCTCCTCCTCCTCTTTATTTCTCTTGGAATGCAGTTCCTCCTCCTCCTGCTCCTTCTCCTCCTCTTCTCCTTTATTCCCCCTGGAATGCAATGTTTGGCAATGGTAACAAAACTATAAGCTAAGTCTGCTCTCCACTCTCGTCTCTCTATCGCGATTCGCTCACTACTCTCCCTCTCACCTCTCCTCTCTTGATTGTCAAGTCCTCGCCACTCTCCCCTCTCAAAGTTGTGATCCAGTCTCCCTCTTGCTGTTGCTCGATGGCCGCTGCTTGGTCTAATTTTGGCCATGGGTGGTTAGGTGCTCATCTCATGATCTTTGATTCTTGCCGTGGGTGCTCTAATATCTTATTCTCAACTTTCACCAAGTTTAATCTCATCTATTTTTATCCCTTTTCTTCTTGATTCTTAGCTTCTTGAGTTCCTGTTTAAGACTTGTATGATGTATGATGCTATATGATCTTCTTGATTCTTGTCTATTTATATCTCTTTCATTAGGACAATGACACAATTTAGTTAATATTTATTATAGGTGATAAAAAAAATTGTGAAAATAATTGACATTGAACCTCTATCTCCATTTTCAATAAATGGACCTGCATTTAAGGATTTTAATATTTAATTTATAGATGATGATGATGAGAATTTTGATTTAGATTGATAAAAATTTTAATCTTTATCTTAAATTTAGACTTCTAAATCTTTTATTTATTTTCTGGAATACAATGTTGAATTTTATTGGACTAAATCTTTTGATTGGACTAAAATTTGTGAGATGATTTAGACTTTTAAAATTAAAATGTTGGATTTTATTTTTTTTTATTTTTCAAAATAGGTTATGGCCCAACCTTAAGCCTTCTAAATAAGGATTAGGCTTCGGGTTTTGGATAAAATTTGAAAAATCAAACTTAAAGGCCTATTCTAACACGGACTTGGCTTGCCAATTTTTCACCGCTACTAGTTATATTATATATATATATATATAGTTAGTTAGTTAGTTATATGTAATTGTAAAGTGAGATTTAAATCTACCAAGAGGAGGGGGTAGATAAAAGCAGGTGGGAAATAGTTTTAAGGTGATTATTACAAAAAGGACTCCGTATCTCAGCATGATAGCATTGGGATAACAACTCTCTTCAATTCTTCTTTATTAAGGATTAGACACAATAAAAAAGTCTGATTTCCCTCAATAAAAAGTATATCTCATCTTTGCAGGTGGGGTCAGGTTTGACAAGTCATTAAGCCACGTTAGTTTTGTAAATTTTTTTTACTATGAAAATATTTTTGGGGTAAAAAAAGTAGTTTTTGATGTTGAATTATACTCTCTAATTGGAATAATAATAATTTTATGGTTCTAAACAATGATAGATGAAATGTTAATTTCTTAAAAGATTTATATTTTTTCAATTATGCCCTCATCACATATTTTATATAAGTATTTTAATAATTATACTTGAAATTGTAATGCATAATTTTTTTAAAAAATAATAAATGAAATAGAAATATAGTTAAAAATAATTATAAAAATTACCCAATACTCTTTATTTTAAACCAAAATTTCTAAAAAATATTTTATATTACAGTTCAAATGGAGTGTATAAAACAAGAGCTTCTAATTAAATGTGATAATATTTAAATATGACCCAATAAATTGGATATTAGGCATTTAAAAAAAAGACTATCGTGTTTACATTTGGGAAAATTAATAATTTACTTTTTACAGTTTTAATTTATTTATAAATCAATCATCAAACTTTCACTTGTTGTAATTTAATTTTTATAATTTTAACTTAATTATAACTTAGTACCAGAACTTTAACTTAAGACAACTTAATTACTATATTTTAAATCATTTAATATATTTATCCTTATATTTTAAAAAATAAAATTAAAGATATAAAAATTATTTTGAAATTCTAATCTTTATGAAAATAAAAAGTTTTAGCAATCTAACATAGTCCATAATTTTTTAAAAAAGTTATTGTATTTTTTATGAAAAAAAAATCATTTCCATTACTTGAAAGTGAGACTTCGATAGACTTTTCTCTAAATTTTATTTGCTTACATAATTTTCCTTTATTTTTAAAATTTTTACGAATCTCTCCTAAAAACAAACAATGAATTACAAGGTAATTGAACATATTGGCTCTTGGATTATAAATTCAAAAAAAATCTAGGACTCTAAATTTATTTTCTATATGATATTGCTTTTCAACTTTCGAATACAAAGCAACTTGACTCTTGTCATTGATAAAATTTAACTTTAATTTTTAGTTGACTGTAAAATGACATAAAAGGATCAAGATAGTTTTCTTGATCTTTTTATGTAATTTTTTGGATCATTATCTATAATTTTAGGTAAATTTTTATAATTTTTAAAGTCATTTTTTAATGAGTAACTATTAAAATTAATTTTTATTAATAGCAGAGGTTAAGATTGCACTATTTTTAAAAACTAAAGAAAAATATTTCACAAAATAAATATAAGGACCCAAAGATTTTTAGAAATTATAGTTTATGAGCCAATTTGCTCATTTACCCTCAATTATATACAAGCTTTTCTTAAACACTTCTAGAGTTATTTTCATACTAAACATACCTCTCTTTTTTTATGTAAAATAAACATACCTCTTTTTTTTATTTTAATAAACATGCCTCCTTTTATTTGGGATAAATTGACTCTCTAGCTAAAAAAAAAAAAATCTTGTACCCAAAAAATATAGACCTAATTTTTAAAAATTTGAGAGTGTGGCTAATTCATATTGATATACAAAGGGTTTATCATTAAAAATTTAAAAATATATAAAAAGTTTATCATTAATATAGAATGATATCATTAACAAATATAATAAATTGGCTATAATGTAAAATTTAATAAATATTAGATTATTTGCTTGGTTTGATCTTATAACATGAGATATACCTGCAACAGCCACTTTTATATGTTAGAAAAGTTTATGTGTAGTTTTTAAAATGTAGGAAATGTCTGCATGATTTTAATAAAACTCATAAAAATTTTGCATGATTTATTTTTTAAGACAATGGTGCATGTATTTTTAAATAGGGAAGACATATGCTTAATTCTAATAAAATATATTATATCAATTTCAAAATTGAATAATATATTTGTATAAATTTAATTTTTTTAAATTTAGGAACTAAACTAATATTTTAAATTATTAACACTTTTAACATTTATAATTTTATTTTCTAAAATATAAGAACTAATATTTAAATAATTAAAATTATATGAATTGAGTTGTGTCAGTTCAAAGTTGGAATCAAATTACAACTGAGTCAAAATTATAACAATCAAGTTACAATAAGTTAAAGTTTAAAAACTAAGTTATAATTGAATTAAAATTAAAAGGATTAAATTATTAATTTTTCTTTTAAATTTTAACCAAGATCTCTAATTGGGATATGCTATTAAGTATTAAATATTAAGGCTTGAATTTGGTATGATAAATGAATGAAACATGTGAAAGTGGGAAACTAGTGGCTCATGCGAGTTCTTCAGCATCTCTATTTTTGAATCCTGATCAATAATGGCTGTAAAGAGTTTTAATAACTGGATCTTGAATGTAAATTTACAAATTAAATGTGTATTTAATGACTAGATGTTGAAAGGAAATTTAGCAAGCAAAAAGAAAGATGAAAGAACAAGAGCAAGTTAGGCTTGAGTTGACAAAAATGTAGACAAAAGTGTCTCCGCATTTGGTGTGGCTAATGAATTATGAAAACTTTTTATCCTTTCTATTCATCCTCTTAAACATATGCCATTTTAAGTAATTTAAGAATACAACGGGATCTTTATCATCCACATTCAATATCATTAAAAAAAATGCGTATTAAATAATTTGCCAAGCCTACCTTGCTCCTCTCTCACCAATCACCATACATATATTCCCTATAGTGTTTTTGCATAGAGCACTTTTAACTATTTTCATCAAGATTTAAAAAAATAGTTAAAATTATTATTAATGTCATTTTAAAAAGAAAGTTTTTTCTAATTTACTCATATAAAATATTTTATCCGGTTCAAAATATAAATACTTTTCCACAAGAATTTGTATATTAATAAAATTTTATTTTTATAAAAATATATATTATTTTTTCTTTTTATCTCTACTTTTAATTTATGATAATTTTTTTATAAATATTAAATTATTTATATTTTGAATTAAAATTAATTAAAAAAATTATATTTTACACAAGAGAGTATATATATATATATATCACCTTCAAAAGACTTTCCTTTTCATATACTCATGCAACTTTTTACTGTACTCAATAAAAAATTGGCAAAAGAGTACAATTGAAAGAGAGTAATGTGATTTCGGAAATAATAATTGATAATCCTGAACCGGAATTGGGTGTGGTTGTCATGATGACGTCAGTTGCAATGGAATCGTCCAGCCTTCCAGACGGCTGCCGTTAGTGACTCCGTTTACTTTCTGCCAACTCTCTCGACTGCGGCTGACAACTCACGCACAGGCACACACGAGCAGGCTCTCTCGCCGTCTCTGGGGAGACCTTTCAATTGATACTCACTCGTGGTCGTGCTCTTTCTTTTCTGACCTTTCTTGCCCATTTTCTCGAGCTTACTCGCCAGCCAAACACCGGAGACAAATCCTCTTCGGCTTCTTCTGCAGAGACAAATGGCGTCAGAGGCAGCCTCCGCAGAAGAAGGCAAAGCTTGGGAGGAGGTCCTCCGAAGGATGCTACCAGCTGGTGCACCCTTACCCGACGAAGAGCATCTCGATTATTCAATTGCGGTGGAATACGAGGGCCCTCCCGTTCCTTATGAGGTCCCCAAGGCTGATCCATTGGATATCGCGTCGGCTCCGGCTTCGGCTCGTGCTGATTCCGTGGCTTCGGTTTCTGACAGCACTTCGATTCCAGTGGTGATGCCCATAAATCACAGGTTCACCAGGTTTAGTCGCTTCAGGAATGGTACTTTTAGTAAAGAGTCGCGTAGTCCGGTGGAGAGTCAAAGGTCCTCTTCGGTTTCAGGGACTCAATTTGATTTGCGGAACGGGGAGGGTGAGGATAATTCGGATTCCGGAGGCGGAATTTCCGAGGATGCGGTTAGTTCTGTGTCGTCTCCACGAGCTCCCAATTCAGCTCCTCAAGGTGATGGGTTGATTGAAGTGAAGCGCCCTACTACTGTGACATTTAATACGCCCAAGGATTCAGAGAACGAAGAGGATGACGGGTATTCGTCTCCGCGTTCCGTGGCTTCCGAGCCAGTGGGATCACCGGTTGCAGTGCGAAATTCGCAGGCTGGGCCGAAAAAGAAATGGATTTGCAGCAGATGTGGGAAAGGGAATCGGCTGAAGGAAAAGGAAGCTTGTTTGGTGTGTGATAAAAGGTATTGTAGTAATTGTGTGCTTAAGGCAATGGGATCGATGCCAGAGGGTCGTAAGTGCGTGAGCTGCATTGGGCAGCCTATAGACGAAACGAAGAGGTCGAGTTTGGGGAAGTGCTCGAGGATGTTGTCGAGAGTTTGCAGTCCATTGGAGATTAAGCAGATAATGAAGGCGGAAAGGGAATGCGCGGCCAATCAACTTCGACCTGAGCAGGTTGTCGTTAACGGAAGACAGTTGAGGCAAGAAGAATTGGCGGAGATTTTGGGTTGTCCGATGCCTCCTCAGAAATTAAAGCCTGGGAAGTATTGGTACGATAAAGATTCCGGACTTTGGGGGAAGGTGAAATTTTCGGTTTGAACATACAAGCCTTTTTTCTTGCAAGTTTCTTTCTTTCTTTTTTTCCTTTTTCCTTTTTGTTTTTTTTTTTTTTGTTTAACATAGAAGTTGGTTTTTGTTCATTCTGTTTTTGTATTTACTTGAAAGTCATGAATTTCAGGAGGGAGAGAAGCCAGATAAGATAATAAGTTCGAAACTAAATATTGGAGGTAAACTTCAGATGGATGCTAGCAAAGGAAATACTGGAGTTTTTATGAATGGTCGTGAAATAACAAAAATTGAGCTTAGGATGTTAAAGGTAAATTATGTTTCTCCATGCATCTGCTTTTACTCAGTTCTAAACGGTAAACATGCAGTTGAACGTATAAATACAATATAAGGCTTGATACCAAATTTAGTAACTTGTTAGTTGATGCGTCATTATCTCTTGGTGTTCAGATATGATCTACTGCATCATGTAAATGAACAAAAACCTGAGCTTCCTAAGAACTTAAGCTTTCAATGTTGCTTTTTATATCCACTTATAGGCTGCACATTGTCAGAATTTGATGAGAATATATTAAATGAGATACTACATTTGCCAGGAAATACATCTTCATTCAAAATTTATCCACTCGTATCAAATCAAAGTTTGGATTGTTAACATTTCCATAGGATATGTATCTAAGGTCTCTACTCTTTGATGCAGTGGGTAATTGACGGTTATTTAGTGCTCTTCTATTTTAAATGTTTGTTTCCTTTCCTTCGTGTATTTAGCTTTACTACTATTATTTTTTTTAAAAAAATATAGTGTTTGGTTGCATTGCAGGATCTGAGAAAGTTTGTCTTGAAAGGAATACAATAAGAACTTTTACGCTAATAATGTGTGTGAGTAGATGAACTAGTGAACGCAAAGCCTTTAAATACTGCCTGGCCTTTTTTATCAGAATATCATATTGTTCAGATTTGATATCAATGAGATAGAATATTTGCTCAGCTAACTATAATTGGCTCTCTATTTTTTCTTTTCTATTGTTTTTTTAATAAGTAGGTTGGTAAATTATTAATTTTATCATCATCAATTGATTTGTCCCTGATCTGCGTGTCATTTCAGATGGCAAATGTACAGTGTCCTCGAGATACTCATTTCTGGGTTTACGATGATGGATCTTATGAGGAAGAAGGTCAAAATAATATAAAGGGGAACATCTGGGGAAAGGTTCTTTCTTATCTGAATATGATAATTACCTGTTCTTTTGTTTGAGTGTAAACTTAGATATTGGTCTTATGGTAGTGGCTTGTTTTATGGTAGGCAGGCATCTACTCGTCTCCTTTCTTCATTATTCTCATTGCCTGTACCGCCAAATAATTCTCATGGGATGAATGAGAATCCAACTACCTATTCAACGAGGTCTGTGCCTGAGTATTTGGATCAAGGAAGAGTCCAAAAACTTTTGTTGTTTGGCATGGAAGGATCAGGAACATCCACTCTCTTTAAACAGGCATGTCTGTCTGTTCCCAGCTCTTTTTGTGTTGTACTCTTGCTTGTTTGCTTGTGTCGTTTTGTGTTAACTTGAATCTGTTGGTCTAGGCTTTTCTCACTTTTTTTATTCTCCGTTTGAGCATAGGCCTTTTGTGAGGAATTGTAGTTCATTTGTTTGGTACTTGGAACAATGTTTGGTGGTGAACTACAATTAAGTACATTGGAGTGGTTGATAATAATGTAATAGATTCATTATCTTTTTAAGGATTATGATATTTGTATTGCTTTGTTATCAGCTCCGGAACATGTCCGTATATATGTTTCTCAGCAAAATACATGCATGTACACATATATTTGTATGTGTCTGTGTATTTGTTTTTGTACGTATGATATGTGCGCATGATTATGCTTAAATTTGTGTCTGAATTTTTACTTTTGCAATGCATGCAGAAATATCAATAGATTGATGTTTACATAAAATTGTGAGTCACAAATTAGATGTAATAGATAGGCTGCCGAAAGTTGCACACAGTGTCAAAACAATATCCCAGACATGCATGCATTATCACAAGTTTTCTTTCTGTGTCTTGCAATGAGTTCCTTTTGATCTATTTTCTTTATGTCTTTGCTATCGTAATTATGTACTGGTGTCTTGACTTACAATTTCTATGATCTTAATACGATAATATTCTCCCTCCCTTTCCTTGGAACAGGCCAAGAATTTATATGGCAATGGCTTTTCTGAAGAAGAGTTGCAAAACATCAAGCTCATGATTCAAAGCAATATGTACAAGTATCTCAGCGTTCTCCTTGAAGGACAAGAACAATTTGAAGAGGAGGCTTTGGCAGAAAAAGAATGTACTTTGGATGTTGAGGGTTCTGGGCCAGGTTGGATTTTACTCTTCTTGCCTTTCTTCCCACAATGCATGTTATTATTCTCTAATATGTAGTTAAAGCAGCACTACTGTATTTTAATGGACCTCTTAATTAACTACATTTTTAAAAGCTTGGTAAATGATATAATACAATGGCGTTGTACAATCCATATAGCTAACTCCACTTAGCAGGATAAGGTTTGCTGCTGCTGCTGCTGTTTTCCTTGATTCTTTCTCTGGTGTTGTGCATAACTTGGTCTTGACAAGAAAAACCCCTAGGATTTATACTTGCCTGTAGAAACAACTTATACCCGGGTCTGTTGATTCATTTACCTCAAATATGTTAATAGCTGATCTTCTGTCCACGGCTCCACGCCCTTTGAAAAACAGAGGGAAACAAAAGTGAAAACTTTTTACTGTTTAGAGTCAAGTTTGTTGCAGATCTGGGTTAAAGTAAACTGTGCTTTATTGATGCGTGATGAAGTGGGGCAAAGCTATCTGTAAAACAATATTTTCTTTGTATTTAATCGCATGAAAAAATATAGTGCACCCTGAACTTCCCAAGAAAAAAATTCATATTATGATACATTTGGTGGGATTGTTGTGAGACTTTCATTGTTCAGTATAGAATTGGACACAACTATATTTTAAATGGTGAAGGGTGAGAGTACATGTTGCCGAATGAACTTCCTTGGGTGACTGGGTTGGTTACATAGATACATTTGCAATTAGTAGTTGTGATCAAAGTGTCTTCGGTTTCTAACTTATGACCTCCTTAGTTCTTTATTATGGTTCTTGACTAAGCTTGACTTGAAGCTAGAAAGTTGCTGCCTATGAGTTGATTTCTTGTATAACGTTCGATGTGGGGGCTAATTCAATGCAAAATCTTCAGTTTAAAACTGAAGGCTTGTGGGTAAATCAAGGCCCTAGCACCTAGTCAACAACTAGTTGGTTAGACCACGTAGGAATGATTTAATACCCCCTAAGCAAGATTGAGGGTTTGAATCTTGTAAATAAAAAAAAATTGTCAGAAGAGCTACTCGTATTGGTCTATTTGGACCTAACAATCTAGATTAGTCTGTAGTACCAAATATCTTGTAGTTATACCCAGAAAAAAAATTTTAAATCATCAGTGAATATTCACAAAATGTTGTATGATAGTCTCTAACAAGTTCCATTTAAAACTGTCAAATATATTCATCAACGATCAATTGCTCAATTTCTATAGTTGAGGGCCGTTCATCACTTGACTAAAAGAGGCAGCAACTCTGACATTTTGGTATATGCTTAAGAAAGCATGTATATTTTGCATCTTAGGCTTACTTTGTTGAAGCATCATTGGTATTATTTAACTGAAAATTTTTATCTTTGCAGTTCGTCATTTTTTATGCCCTAATTTTTTTGGTCATTTATAATTTGTCTCAGATTATTTTCAAATCAGAATAGTTAAAGAACACTTACAGATATGGAGGGAAAAAAAATAGGCATAGTCGCATAGAGGTCTTCTATTTGGCTCTTTATTTTGTCCAAATAGGTCGCTTTCCAAAACCAACTTTTTCTCTGTTAATGTTGTTGCGTATGAGACCATTAAAAGTTGTTCATTTTTTCCGCCCAGAAAAACGTTTATTTGTTCTCTTTACAAGACTTCTTGTCTGTTGTCAATTATTTGCTACAAGGAAACACGCCCATGTTGTAACGTACCAGTGCTCATGATCTGAAGCCTGACGGATTCCTAATTGACAAATTTTAATGCCTCTCGTACTTCCTTGATTTCTTATGAATTTTGTGGACAAGTCAAAGCATCTTTTCTTAATGTTCATGAAAAAATGGTGAGCAAACTGTAAGGTGGTTTACTGTTATTACTTTCGCAGAAAATGTAGCTGTCGAAAACAAGAGGTGCATTTACACAATCAACCCAAGATTTAAGCATTTTTCTGACTGGTTGCTGGATATTATTGCGTCTGGAGACTTGGAGGCTTTCTTCCCTGCTGCTACACGTGAATATGCTCCTATGGTAGATGAGATCTGGAGAGACTCTGCGATTCAGGAAACATACAAGAGAAGAGAGGAATTGCATAACCTTCCTGATGTAGCTAAATATTTCTTGGATCGGGTATGCATTCAATTGATAGTTTTCTACCTTGTTCTAAAGTATTCAATAATTGTTGTTCCCTCTTTCTACCAAAAAAAACTAAATTGTTGTTCTTTCTTATATTTTTTCTATTTTTTTAACCGAGATACCAAATAAATTGATGTCACTTTCCAAAAGTTAACACATTAATGTTTTCTTTTTAATTTTAACCTTTTCCCTTTCTGGATTAAATGATTAATGCAATGTAGCTAGGTTCAGGGTTTTTCTGAATTTTTATTTCATCATTTTTTAAAGTTGATGACAGCCAGTATGAAAAACCAATACCAATAAATGGAAAATTTAGTGCTGAGTTCTATTGAAATGTTCAACTTGTAGGTTTCATTGTAAAGAACTTCAAGGGCTGATGGATTAAAATATATTTCAGCTCTCCAGAAGTAATGAAAGAATCTTTCAATTCCTATAGGCTTATGGTGATTGGCCAATTAGAATCACCTCTCCTATCCTACGGGTTATTCATTTGTCCTAGCATACAATTACTTGATGAGGTGGTTGCTGACAAAGAGGCACTGCAAATAAGCTGTTTTTAAGTTCATAATATTATGCACAAATAAAGTGATATGGCTGCTCTCTCAAGAAGCTTTAACCTGAGCTTTCAGCATAGAATCTAGCAGGCTTTGCTATCAAATAATAGATGTTAAATTGAGTCACGTAACACAGTTTTTGTCATGTCTACACCTAAGCTCGTGTATTTTCATAACACTTTGAACACTTGACACTTTGCTTCCATGGAACATGTGCTCTTGTGTGTATTTAATGCATGCTGTGTTCATTGACATCGGACTCATTACATTTTTTACTGTTTTCCATTTGACAATTTTTGTAAAAATTGATGCTGCAGGTCTGATAAACCTTCCATTGGTTTCCTGCCTATCATAATTTTTGTGGCGTATACCAACTTTATGGTCCCAAGTTTGAGAACTATATGATTTTTAAAAGCATGTCCTAAATGCTTTGTAAATGTTAAATTCGTAAGCTTGAATAAATCCTAAATCTGGTAAATCTGAATTTTGGCATGACAAAATGAATGTTTGACCTTCTTCTTTAAATCAAATAATTATGTTATTTATTTGTTTCAATGGAGTTATCTTAGTCCTCCCACCCCTCCACCCCAACAAAAAAATTTAATCTGTCTTTCGTCTGGTCTTGTTTACATTCTTTTGACTATACATCTCTTGACATGCATGGAATCTGGTTAATTGTTCAAAAAACATGCTCAAATGGCAGCATTATGTTTTGTACGCCCTCCATTTTTTAGTTTATAAGGCACTATCTGAGATTTCACAGGATAAGATATTTTGCACATTACGCAGAGTATTTAATATTGTTTCACCTAAAATATCCCTGGT